GATACTGTGTTATTATTGCATTAAACGCCCTTGCAACAGCGGAGAACAGATGAGAACGAGTTCCAAAAAGGACACCTAGACGGATGGAAAACAAAGCTTAGAAATAAAGAGCAGGCGGGAAAGGAACACGATCAAGATACCAAATATTTCAGTGGTGACAGCAGATGTATTTGGTCTTAAGTGTCCGTACGGTAGATGACAGGGGAAAGCCCACAATTCTTCAGGAGGATCACGATAATCACCATCTACAATCATGCAGTGGAAAACAACAGACATATCTCTTGCACTGTTGAATATTCCCTTCAGGAGACATCGGAGAACCTCCCCCCCCCACAGTCTGCTGAATTGTCGTCTCCTACAGTCTCCTGCTCTGCTGTAAATGTACAGTGGGCTTAGTAAGTATAAACCAAATATAACTGTAAATAAAAAAATACATTATGAATATTTAACTAATCTCACGTTAGTTGTTATTTCGTATGAATCAAGTCTCGTGCGTATTTTAATATAAAAATAACTTCACAGAGACTAAAACTTTACCAGCAGTTTCTACTTCTATGTTATAATAAGAAACAACATTTGGGCGATAATGTTACCCAATTATATACCCCTTTTCACTATATGTACCCGTACCCTACTTAGATAATACGAACACAGGTACAGTTTGGTAATTCAGTTTGATTCGTGTTTTCAGCCTTGTCAGCTTAATTTCATTTAGGAATTTCTGACGTTTAAAGTTGGATATTATGTATTAGATAGACTAATTAGCATTTTCCTATTTATGTTAAACACACTAGCTACAATATAGCTCCTTTATGCAGGTAGACTCTGATGTCGTGTAACTGACAAGCGGAAATACAATCAAAGCTGTCCTTGCCTTGAAATTGTCATGAAAATAGATTAAATATTTTACAACGTAATATACCTGTAAAGCAGGATGTATCTATATATAGTCTACCTGTACAGACAAAAATACAAACTGTCGAATCGTCACCGTTGATTAGAAGGTTGATCAAGCATGTTTAGAGGTATACGTAAACGGAGAGATATAAAATGGCGACAGTCCATTGTTCCTGAGTGCATTTATCACAATAACATTGTACATTATGGCAAGTTCAACATCCGGACGGAGTGCCCAGGAACTCATCACCTACCCGTGTTCTCTGTGTGACATTAAAGAAAATGTGAACTGGTTCTGTAATGATTGTCATTGTTCCTGGGTGAATTTTTCAAAATAACACTGTATATCATGGCATCCGGACGGTCAGCCCAGAAACCCGTCTCATACATGTGTTCTCTGTGTAAAAAAAGAGACAACGTAAAATGGTTCTGTAACGACTGTCAACAAGCTTTATGTGACCGATGTAAGGAATTACATACACGAGGGAGGAAAACTAAAAACGATGACGTCGTATCCATAGGGAAGGCTAACCGTCAGGATGCCAAACCAGTACCAGAGGTATGTAAACTACATCCCGGTAAACTATGTGACGGGTACTGTTGTGATTGTGACATGTTGGTGTGTTTGCTGTGTCTTTCACAGACACATAAACACCACGACTGGGGTCATCTAGAAGACGAACTTACCTTCAAAAAGCAACAAGTGAAGGAACACATCAAAGCAATTTCTTTGAAAATAACACATTACAAAAACGAGACATCAAGGCTCTATCTTGCTAAAAAAGAAATTGTTGACAATATTGAAGGAAAGCGAAAAGAGGTGAACTCTCGAAGGACCAAATTAAAGGCCGAGGTAGATTCTATCGCGGATACAGTATTGACAGAGTTAACGGCCTTGGAGGAAGAACAGCTGGACCAGTGTGATAAGGTCTGTCAACAGATCGAGAAAAAAACTGGAGAGCTGACGCGTCTGCTTGAAAAAGCGCAATTGCCAAATGCATTAAGTATATCTGTATTTGAAACGGAAAATACATTGAGGTCAACCCTGCCTTTGTATGACGTAGAGGAAGAACATTTTATACTCAAACAACTGAGCTTTGGCACCGGAGGTACTGATCGTGGTTTGTTGACGAAGATGTTTGGTAAATTACGCTGCTCAACTCAGTACGTGAAGACAGACATCTGCAGTAAACACGTTCAACGTCTGTCTAATTTTACTGTTTTTCAGAAAGAAAAAAATATAAACGATATATGTCCAATAGACGATAATCATGCGTGGTTATCAATAGATCATTACAAAGGTCTTGTGCTGGTCAGCATTGAGGGTGTGGTCCCGGAGGAATTAGAAATGGACTTCTTTCCGCTACATATCATGAGGATAAATAAAGACGATATTATCATGACAAGTGTTCCACGTACAACATCTATTTATAAATTAACAACACACAGCAAACGAGTGACAATATTTGCTGACATCAGTCCCCATGAAGCAGTAGATATCAGCGTCAACGAGACAGGCGAGGTGTTTGTTAGTACAGGGACACCAGAAATAGTGGTATTGAATCAGTCAGGTACAATTGTAAGAAATGTTTCAAATGATACGGGCACACCACGATATGTTACCTGTTTGTCATCGGGAAACCTGGGATTAGTTTTAGAAGGGGAAGACTGGAACAGGAACATAATCATAACAGATGAGTCAGGTGCGATCCTCAACAGATGGACTGGTGAACTGGACAACGGTAAAAAGGTCCTTGATTTGTGTGTCTGGAAAATGTCATCTGACCAGTACGACAGATTGTTTGTACCGGACCCATATAGTAATCAGGTGTATGTCCTACCGTGTGATGAGAAACTGGCCACGTGTCTTCTGGACCAGAAACATGGAGTGAAGAAACCGTCAGTGGTGAGTGTGGACACGTTTGGGAACGTGTGGATTGGATGTTGTGACGGTACTATACATGTCATGCGACTATAACAGAGGTCATTTTTATTTCAATGCCTCCGCTAAGAATCGAACCCGGGACCCCCGGGCTTCCTAGTCTGACGCTCAACGAATCGAGCTAAAGAGAAATTCTCTCTAGCCGAGTGGTATATTGTGTTTAGTATTTTACCAGGGTTACGTAACTATAATCTGCAGGAACAGTAATCATACTGATGATGTCACGCTTGTATGAAGACAGTAATACTGACTTAAACAACAAATTCCTCGAGATCATAACGTTTCAAAACGTTTGTTGTCTTTTGTACAACAATATACATATATTTAAGGTAAATTTTGTGTGAAATAGTTAACGTTAGGTTGGATATTTGTTTCACTCTAAAATTAATGCATATCAATGGTAATATTTTTATGTTATTATTTGTAAGAAAAAACAAAATACAAAAATAAATCACTCCATACTGATAAGCCTATTCTAGCTTGTAAAACTGTACAGCGATTCTTGATCTAAATGAACATGATAGGCTTTTTGTTTTTGGATGTTTTGGTTAAATAAATTGGAAAAATCTACGGTGTAGCTTATAATTGGGCCATAACTCTGATCACTAGCAAGTTATTTTATTCTTAATTAGAAAATCTTTCCAATGTTCACGTTAATCGGTGTTTACCAAAACATCTTTTCATTGCTTCTGTTCTCGGGTAACCAATGACATCCTGGTGAGGTCACACGTAACTGTAGTTTATTGTCATTAAACAATCAGTAACGTGGTTGATTGCCTCCTGTAACTAGTGACATCCTGTTAAGGTCACACGTAACTGTACTTTAGCGTCATTAATTAATCAGTTACGTGGTTGATTGCCTCCTGTAACTAGTGACATCCTAGTGTGGTCACTCGTAACTGTAGTTTATTGTCATTAAACAATCCGTAACGTGGTTGATTACCTCCTGTAACTAGTGACATCCTGTTGAGGTCACACGTAACTGTAGTTTATTGTCATTAATTAATCAGTAACGTGGTTGATTACCTCCTGTAACTAGTGACATCCTAGTGTGGTCACTCGTAACTGTAGTTTATTGTCATTAAACAATCCGTAACGTGGTTGATTACCTCCTGTAACTAGTGACATCCTGTTGAGGTCACACGTAACTGTAGTTTAGCGTCATTTATTAATCAGTAACGTGGTTGATTACCTCCTGTAACTAGAGACATCCTGTTGAGGTCACACGTAGCTGTAGTTTATTGTCATTAAACAATCAGTAACGTGGTTGATTACCTCCTGTAACTAGTGACATCCTGTTGAGGTCACACGTAACTGTAGTTTATTGTCATTAATCTATTAGTAACGTGGTTGATTGTCTTTACTTTATTTTAATTATTAAATCAGAAATGCAATATTGCATAAAATATAAAGTCTTTGTCCCCTATCTATACTTCGGTATCTTCCACATTTATGTATGTAAACTCTTCTTTATTATTGATAATTTTCCTCTACAAACCCGAAGCCTCCTACTGTGTGGTAATCTAAATCGATTAATGTTTACAGCATGGTTAGCTTCATATCAGAAAGGATTACAATTTTTTTTAAATATCTAAAAGTTTAGCTAGTTAAGAGAAAACATACTTTGATGAAATCATTCCTTATTTTAGTCACACAGAAGCGCCCCTTGCTGACGACTCTGATATTGTGAGAAAACAGCATTTTCAACATTGATGACATTTGATATAATTACTTAGTTTTACTACATAAATCTTTGTAGCAAGTATAAAGAGCCTAACGACGAAATATTTCTGTTCACCTGATAAACCTGTAATTCAGGAAGCATATGTTTAGAGGTATCTAAAAGTTTAGATGGTTAAGAGATAACATACGTTGATGAAATCATTCCTTATTTTAGTCACGCAGAAGCGCCCCTTGCTGACGACTCTGATATTGTGAGAAAACAGCATTTTCAACATTGATGACATTTGATATAATTACTTAGTTTTACTACATAAATCTTTGTAGCAAGTATAAAGAGCCTAACGACGAAATATTTCTGTTCACGTGATATACCTGTAAACCAGGAAGCATATGTTTAGAGGTATCCGTACATAGAAAGATATGAAATGGCGACAGTTCATTGTTCCTGGGTGAATTTTTCAAAATAACACTGTATATCATGGCATCCGGACGGTCAGCCCAGAAACCCGTCTCATACATGTGTTCTCTGTGTAAAAAAAGAGACAACGTAAAATGGTTCTGTAACGACTGTCAACAAGATTTATGTGACCAATGTAAGGAATTTCATACGCGCGGGACAAAAACTAAAAGCGATGACGTCGTATCCATAGGGAAGGCTAACCGTCAGAATGCCAAACCTTTACCAGAGGTATGTAAATTACATCCCGGCAAACTATGTGACGGGTACTGTTGTGATTGTGATATGTTGGTTTGTTTGATGTGTCTTTCTCAGACACATAAACACCACAACTGGAAAAATCTGGAAGACGAAGTTATTTTGAAACAACAACAAATAAAAGAACACATTACGAAAATTTCTGCGAAAATAACACTTTTCAAGAACGAGACGTTACTACTATATCGTGCTAAGAAAGTGGCTGTTGACAATATTGACGGAACACGAACAGAAGTGAACAGTCAGAGGATAAAACTGAAGTATGAAGTAGATCAAATCGCGAATGCGGTACTGGCAGAGGTATCGTCCTTGGAAAAAGAACAGCTGGCCCAGTATGATAAGGTCTGTCAACCATTCGAGAAAAAAATAGGAGAGCTGACGCGTCTTCTTGAAAAAGCTGAAATGGCAAATACATCATGTGTATCCATGTTTGAAACGGAGAGGTTATTGAGGTCAACTCTGCCTATGTATGACGTAAACGTAGAGAATGTTTCACGACAACTCCCAAACTTTGTTGCCGGAAGTATTGCCCGCCATTTGTTGAAGGAAATGTTTGGAGTATTAATCCGTTCGAACCAGTACGAGAAGATAGACATCGACAGTAACCACATTCAACGCCTCTCAAAGTTCACTGTTAATCAACAAACAGATATATACGATATATGTCCAGTGGACGACAGACATGCGTGGTTATCAATTTACAAACACAAAGGTCTAGTACTGGTCAACAGGGACAGCTTGATAGCAGCGGAAGTTACATTGGACTTCTGCCCGCGCGGTATCGCCATGGTAGGGACGACTGATGTGCTTATTACCCAGGACCCTTGTAGAACATCTATATATAAAGTATCTCTACAAAACAAAAAGTTGACAACATTCGCCAACATCAGTCCACATCACGCACGGGATATCAGCATCAACAAGACAGGCGAAGTGTTTGTCACCACCGGGACCCCAGACATAGTGGTACTGAATCAGTCAGGTACGACTGCTAGGAAGTTTTCCTGTGGGTTGGATAAATCACTATACATTTCATGTTTGTCATCAGGACATCTTGGAGTGATGGGAGATGGACATGCGGGTAGACACATCATCCTTATAGACGAGTCAGGTACGGCCATACATAGATGGACTGGTGAATTGGACAATGGTCAAAAAGCTCGTGATATGTTCCTATGTAACATTACATGTGATAAATACAACAGATTGTTTATACCAGACCTCTATAACAATCAGGTGTATGTCCTATCAAGTGGAAAGAAACAGGCCAGGTGTATTCTTGACCAGAAATACGGAATTGACAATCCTTTAGTGGTGAGTGTGAACACGTGTGGGAACGTGTGGATCGGTTGTCGTGACGGTACTGTACACGTCATGCGACTTTAACATTTGTGAAAAGGTATTATAATAGCGGTGACGTCAGACGAAAAATGTCACATGATCACGTTATACACACCCAATACCATCAGATACCAGTTTCAGTCCGTAGAAATATTGTAGAGTGAATACGCTTGTGTTAAATCAACCCAGTAATAAACTACATGACAAAATTACATGTATGTCATTGAAGAATTATGAAACAAGTGTGTGAGACTGACGCCTTCTTTGGTGTTTTAATTTACACCAGGAACGATTATTGTATAGCTTAATCAGTGTGTTGTGTATTCTCGATATAAAAAATAACATTGATAATCAAAGTAATTCTAAATAATAAAGGATTGTGACGTCATTATAATTGTGACATCATAAACATAAGCTGGAGCTAACTAATTACGTCAGCTGAATGGTCCATTGGCTGATAGAAACTGACGGTAGTAACTGATTTTGAGTAAGAAATACATTTAAATGTCAATTTTTAAAAATATCTGAAGATGTTAATATGATTAATGAACTTTATTTTGCATTTTTTACTATTAATGTGAGGAGGGTGAACCGTAGACGGTCACGTGTTCCCTAAGTTATAAATACCCGGATTACTAATAATTATGAGGGAAACTCTAGGCCTATAATGCTAATTAATACATTTTTTTTACAAACATTGCAGATCTTTTTTTATTAAGATCTGGTTAAACAAATAACACTTTTATGATATAGAAGAACAAAAAGAAAGGTGCATACATGGATATCAATACCATGCCCTGATTTTATTAGATAAAACATTATTCTGCTGCATTGTACCAAGTGTAGTAGTTTAAGTAGTTTAAGTTTTAGTCTTCAATCAGCAGTAACTGAATCACTTTATGTATAGGTTTTCACGTGTTTGTAGAATCTCCTGTGCGTATGAGTGTAATGGTCATGCTGATACCGATTATATTTTGGTATTTGTTGTTCGTGTTTAGCTCCAAAAGAATGGTCACACACACACACACACCCTTACACACACACACACACACACACAGAGAGAGAGAGAGAGAGAGAGAGAGAGAGAGAGAGAGAGAGAGAGAGAGAGAGAGAGAGAGAGAGAGAGATACATTACACATGTAGAAGTAGTGAGTTCATTGTACTTCCGCACTGTTAAATCATTGTGTCTGTCATGTGTTGTCAGAGTTCTGATATTCCATGTTTGTTTACTAGGGATATTCCCTTTGGGGATTCCCTTTTATTATTTAGACGGCTCTGATTGGTTAATATTTTAGGCACTTGTCACCACACCTGTACATTACTATACCTACTCCGGTGACAGGTCGCACGTGTAATTCATGGCATACTATTAAATTTAGCTATATAGCAGAGTGTTCGGGTGCTATTAGTCAGTCTGGCAGTAGCTTTCATGTAGCTGGTCAGCTCTCTTTCTCCCTAGAAAGGTAAGTAGGACTCTTTCGGCCTTAGACCTCTAAATTACTCTGGGTTGGGTGGTATTTTCCCCTAGCAGGCAGTTGTTTAAAGTTATTATTATGTTCTGTTAGGGTTTACGGTAGTGTTACATATCCCAGGTTTGGGCAACTGGGTGGCAGTTGTTTTAGGATAGAAGAATTTACAACTGGTAGTGTAACCAAGTAAAGTCATAGCCGTCGTCGGAGCCGGTGTATCATCATTGTAAATATCTCCATGTTTATTTGTCTGTTGTAACTAATAAACTCGTTAACTTTTATTCCTGTCTTGAGTTATTTGTCTGTAGCCATGGAATAATAAGACAGAACCACAGAGAAGACGAACTAGAAAATATTCCACTATACGATCACTCTGTCAGGAGTACCTGTGTACTGTGACGAATTTAATACTTTTACAACCCACACACACACAGATACATTACATACACACACACAAAGAGATACATTACATACATACATACATACATGCATTTAAGCCCTTAGCATCTCTGACTAATCCTACAAGGACGAAACAGTTGTATAATGCAATCTGATTATTTTGTTGGCTCTACTGTATCTAGCTCTAAAGTATGTAAAAGTGTGTCATTTAAACAATATATATTGAAACAAGAATAAGCTAGTGAATACAAAAACGTATGATTGTTTATCTAAAATTAATTGTAAATAAAAATTATTTAGAACAACATTGATATGGCTTTGTTTTGTTTGAAGCATAAAAAAGATATGCAATAACAAGTATTAGGCGATGTTTACAAATACGTGATTCTATAACGTTCGTACATAATAATATTGCCTGTATCTGGGACAACATCGATGCTTTTTTACTCGTCTGACTTACACGTTCAACATACCACCCCCTTGTACTAGTTGTGGTCAAATATAGCACTTATTTCTAAAACAAGGCAATGTAGATTTTGGTACGCTGCAAGAAAAAAAGCACCGCAGGAATCTTAAATGTTGGCACAAAGTGTTCATGGAGGCTGCTATATTTGTTCCGATTTTGTCAGATTTGAGTTTGAATTATGATTTTATTTCCATGTTGGTAGCTACTCAGTGTTTCAGAAAGCCAACGATTGCTGGGTTAGATACATAAACAAGGCTAGAGATGGAAACTCCTCTTTATAGCAGATGCTCGGGAACAAGAGACTGTATGGATAGTTTGTGGGACTACACTGGAATGTACAAATCGCGTGCAAATATATATGCTCTAATTTTGAGGAATAGGTCTTGGATGACTTACAAAGAATGTAGGTGTTTGTTTCATATTAGCTGTAAGCTATGCTATAAGTATGTATTTCACGGACAGCGATAAAATTAGAGCAGGCAATATCCTGGAACAGGAAATCCGAAACATTGTTAAACAAAATGAATCGCATTTTAGAATACAGTAAACTGCACCATCCACTTATTTTGTAGTACTTCGGTACTAAATTATGAAACCTAAGAGGCGACTGAGGAAAAAACAAAGTCATACCAGCTGCAGTAAGGACTTTTGTAAAGTGATCTTAGTATCATTGAACGGATACAAAATGTCTGATGCCCTATCCCTTTACCCTTTTTTGAGCAATGAAATTTGTTGAAATTGAAACAGATACAAAATGTTCCCTTGGCGATATCATGTCTGCACAAGCAAGTTTCTGATCGCAGGGATGTCGTTGGCTGTGCAGGAGAAATCTCGTAAATATTCCGACTTACATGCTGATTATTTCTGTCAATGAACACAACTGTGAAAAGATTGAACTTAAATAAGTTGGATTCCAAATGACACCGACTTATTGGATACTATACAACTAACGCAGCTTAGAGTTGGATAAATATCTGTTCAAACTTTGATGGTGGTAAGAACGTGCGTGAGATGCTATGCCGGTGATCCGAGGCTCATTTTTGGGTCATGGTAGTCTTATTTGGCACGAGAACAGTCAACAGTTTTGTATCCGGAGTAGCATCTTTTCTGTGAGCATATCAACATTTTGATGTCAAAGATAAAAGAAACTGGGGTTGCAATCAGAGGGCAATCGATTTGTGGTATGTGGAAGGAAAAAAGGACAAAAGAGTTTGCCATAATCGAGGTTTGGCCACGTTGTTACGAAAAATCCGAAGAAAAGGTTTGACCACTGGTCACTGGTACAGTAAGTCTAAGGGCTGGTCTAAGAGACATGGTACAGTAAGTTTAGGGGATTGTCAAACGGACATGGTACGGTAAGTTAAGGGGATTGTCAAACAGACACGGTACAGTAAGTTTATCTGATTGTCAAACAGACACGGTACAATAAGTTTAGGGGATTGTTCAACAGACACGGTACAGTAAGTTTAGGGGATTGTCCAACAAACACAGTACGGTAAGTCTAAGGACTGGTCAAATAACACGGTTATAATTAGTGTGAAAGAACCTTGGCGACCGAATTAGGCATTACAGAAGAAGAACAAAAGAGAATGACATCTTGGTGAATATAAAGTCTCAGATTCTGTATTCTTCCAACAGACACATCTCTGGCTGTTAGCTCGTGTGTACAACTAACTGCTATTTCTAACATCTAACATCTGGTGCCAGCATAAAAATCATACAAATGTTTTCATGAATGATAAACTACGTTTCAAATGTGATCGTAAATATTATTACTAACGTCGACAAAGTTAACTTAACATTGCTAAAATTCTGTGGCTCTACTTGATAGTGAAAACAGAAAATCCGTACCAAATTTATATCAAGAAAATTGAAAAGGATTCCACATTCTGGAATGACGTGAAGTCGCTACAGCTTGACCGTTTTCATATGATCTTTTTCTTCAAGAATTAGTCATTCGTGTAGGGGTAATGAAAATATCGATGTCACACAAAAATTATCTTGTAATAGTCAAGGCTATACGTTTGGTAATGTCACTCAGGGCTCCTCTTTGATGGACTAATTAGTTATTGTTATGATTATAAAGGACCTCTCACAGGAACAACAGAATTTTTTACCAAAAACTGACCCTTGGTGTACACCTGTGGTTCATTACATTAAATGAGTTATATCACAGGCCCCTGGGGCCTTTTGGATTTTTTATACTGATTTTTTGGTTTGCCTCTCAATGTGATACAAATAGCAACCAAATTGGTTTAAATTGGTTCGTGAGCAAGATTTTGTGGTTTCTATAAGAGGTCCTTTCACTTCCGGTTGTTATGGGTATTCTCCCCTTGTAGTTGGTGTACTCCAGTAGTCATCCAGTTTGTTTTTGTTGCTGTTTAGTATGTTTGCAATTACTATGTGATCAGGGCAACTGTTCCACATAGCTGTTGTTCTTATAGAGAATGACTTTTTACGTAGTGATGTTCTTGCGTGCTTTGGGAATATTTTCAAGGTGTTTGTCCTTGTGCTAGTTCTTTCTAAGGTATCAGATTACACCCTTATAAACTGTTTTGTCCCCTTGTCGTATTTCCCTTTCACTGTCTAGAACATCTCTATCATATCACCTTGTATACGCCTGTAGGTTATGATTTCAACATCTTCAGTCTTTCCAGATGTGCAAGGTTTTCCATTCCAGGTAGATGTTTTGTTCCTTTGTACACCTTCCAATTGTTCAATATGTTTTATTGTATGGTTTCCTAACGGCACTAGTGTATTCGAGGTAAGTTCTAACTAGTGAATTGTGAAGTGGGATAAATAATTTAGAATTCATAAACTTAAATATTCTTCTTATCAATTGTTGTGCTATTTAATACGGAAGCAGGCAGTGTTTCCTTTCTTGTGCAATATGTATGAACCTACACTTGTCCTCATTAAATTTTAGCAGCCAAGTCTTGCTCCACTGAGATAGCCTGAGTGGGTCTTCCTGTAAAGATTTCTCATTTTCTTTAGACTTAATAACATAATCGTGACTTTTGCAAATAAGTAGCCAGTTGAATCCACGAATCCCCTCAGCAGCATTACCATTTGATATAAATATGTTGAAGGGTCGGTCAGGATCGCGGATTCGAACCTGGGAACTCTGACTATATATAGAATCACGCTCAATAGATCGAGATAAATGGTATTTGTAACAGAGATCATCATTTATTTCAATGCCTTCTCTAGGAATCGAACCCAGGACAACTGGCTTACTACTAGGACGCTCAACCGATCGAACTAAAGAGAAGTTCTCTCTAGCCGAGCGGTATGTTGCGGCTTGTATTTACCAGAGTTTGGTATTATTCCATAGTCTTTTCATGGGCACCAATGTGACAAGAGTCATTATTAATTCGTCTTTCCGCTTTGTTGCCCGCGAAAGGAGGCCGGGCGAAAAAACGAAATAACGAAACGACGAAATATCATATATAAGCCCCCATACGGTACCCCTGGCTTGCGTTCTACCTATAGAGCTAAAGAGAAGTTGCCTAACTGGTTCTAGCCGAGCGGTATATTGCCGCTAGTATTTATAAAGTTTACACCGACAAGAAGTCCAAAATTACCTAACAGAAACTTCAGGAACCGATAAGAAAAAGAAATGATGACAAAAAAGAACAAGCATTTAGTAGCAAATCAAAGGAAGACATGTGGTAAAATACAGTTATGTTTTCCAGAGGTGCAAAGGGCGAAAGTGATCGAAACCCCTGGAGTATGGGAACATGTTCCAGGGGTGCTGAGAGCGAAAGTGATCGAAACCCCTGGAGTATGAGGACATGTTCCAGGGGTGCAGAGAGCGAAAGTGATCGTAACCCCTGGAGTATGAGGACAGGTTCCAGGGGTGCAGAGAGCATAAGTGATCGAAACCCCTGGAGTATGGGAACATGTTCCAGGGGTGCAGAGAGCGAAAGTGATCGAAACCCCTGGAGTATGGGAACATGTTCCAGGGGTGCAGAGAGCGAAAGTGATCGAAACCCCTGGAGTATGAGAACAAGTTCCAGGGGTGCAGAGAGCGAAAGTGATCGTAACCCCTGGAGTATGAGAACATGTTCCAGGGGTGCTGAGAGCGAAAGTGATCGAAACCCCTGGAGTATGAGGACATGTTCCAGGGGTGCAGAGAGCGAAAGTGATCGAAACCCCTGGAGTATGAGGACATCTTCCAGGGGTGCAGTGAGCGAAAGTGATCGAAAACCCTGGAGTATGAGGACATGTTCCAGGGGTGCAGAGAGCGAAAGTGATCGTAACCCCTGGAGTATGAGAACAAGTTCCAGGGGTGCAGAGAGCGAAAGTGATCGAAACCCTGGAGTATGGGAACATGTTCCAGGGGTGCTGAGAGCGAAAGTGATCGAAACCCCTGGAGTATGAGGACATGTTCCAGGGGTGCAGAGAGCGAAAGTGATCGAAACCCCTGGAGTGTGAGGACATGTTCCAGGGGTGCAGAGAGCGAAAGTGGTCGAAAACCCTGGAGTATGAGGACAGGTTCCAGGGGTGCAGAGAGCGAAAGTGATCGTAACCCCTGGAGTATCGAGGATGTACTTTGGGGCACACCAATGGTGTCTTCAACTGGAATGGCCCTCTCGCCATGATTGAATTTATGTTGTTTTAAATCGGTCGGTCTAGTTAAAACTTCACCAGTAATATCATATTCTTTTTTTTTTAGTTTTTAGTAACCGTTTGTGTTGAACTATCTCGAACGCTTTGCTAAAGTCCAAATAAATTGCGCACATATTTCTCCTTTGTCAATGGCCTTAGTCTAACTTTCAGGGATTCTATGTAAATGCTGTACATAAATATGTAGATTTAAAGCCATGTCCGGTAAACAAAGTATTGATCTCAAAATTTATCTTTCAAGTTAGTTGTTTGCCACGAATCGATAATTTTCTACTGTGCTATGCTTTCTACTTTTACATATTGGCGTCACGTGCGCGATACACCAGCTGTGAGGTATTTGCCTTCTTTTCTATTTTTTTTTTAAATATGTGAAGTGAAACCGTGATCTGTTTTGAGGTTTCTTCGACTAGTTTGGGATGAACTATATCAGGCCCTGATGATTTGTTTGGATTCTATGCTTTTATTGCATTCCATTTGTTTCCTTGTTTATCTCAATGTATGACAGCTCAGTATGATATAGTCTTGTTAGAAAATCTGACGATCGTCATCAGAGGGACTGAACACTATCCCAGCGTAGTTATTTACTTCTTCGACAGTTTCCTGGTGTGATGAGGCCAAACTACCATCCCTCTTCTCTATGTTGTTTACAGACATGCATATTTGTATTTTCCCTCGTTACATACCGATTTTTTTCTATTTTCTTTTAGGTCTCCTGTCCGATATTTTTATAGCGATAATAGGACTGCCGAATTTTACTTCTTGTAATTTTTCTGACCAATTGGTATTCGTTGAGGTTTTCTCATATACTCTCTCTCTCTTTAATTTAAACGGATGAATTTCAGTGCCTCGCATCCAGATGTGATTTCCATTGAGTTCGGTTTAAAGATGTCTTTTTTTTCACGGGTAGTGTGTCATCTTTTAGTTTAGTAAGTGTTATAGAAAGACTAAGCTGATGATTTCTTTTCGGTTCAGTTCCTCATCTGAGACAAAGAGTCTGTAAAAATTTCCTTTAAAACACTACTGCTGCTTAACGCCTTGGCTGATTTCAACCAAATTAGGTCTGAAACATCATGTATTGATAGGGAATTGGTTGTAAAATTCAGAAAGTTGATTTGATCCCTAAAGACCTGAGAGCGGGGCTCAGAACGCTACTCCTCCTTAATGCTTTAATGGATTTAATTCAAATTTTTTTTTGATCATAATTAGAAGGGGGCAATTAATTCTTAAATTTGGGAAGTTGATTCGTCCCCTACGAGACTTAGGGGCGGCGCCCATATGTGTGAAATTAAGCCGACTGTATTTTGATTTAAAACGATACTTTTATTAATTCCTGTGCAGATTTCAACCAAATTTGGTCTGAAACGTTATTAGGAGTGACAATAATATCAAACCTGTTGAAACAGTCTTAACTACTTCTCCAGATTCACATCATTAAGAACAATATTTGGATTTTCATTTGCCAAGGAAACGAATCAGATGATATGCTGTTACATTAGTCAGTTACAGTGAAAACTTCGCCATAAACGCCTCAGCAGCCATTTGGTAATTACACCGAGATTCCACATAGCGGGCCATCGTAAATATTGTGGGATGTAAAGTTGCTGAAGAAATGAGTGGAAATAATTTGTTCGCAATATTTAATTGCATTGTAACATTAGTATTATTATTATTATTATTATTATTATTATTATTATCACAACATTCATAACGGCCCGTCAACACATAAAAGGTCATTAGGGCCATCAACCGGTAAAACACACAGCGATCCAAAAAAGGAAATAACATCAAACAAACTAAAAGGTAAAAGACAAATACTAAAATTCTTAAATATAGTTATATTATCACAAATTATTAAAATAGTTAGGCTTTGCACTCTAATAGGAAAAAGGTTTTATCTTTCAGTCGAATCATTATGTATAGCTACCGCTTCGTAAAACAATATATAAAACATTAAACGAATGCCGATACATGGGTCGCTTAAATTTGAAGTTGGGATTTAGGAGGATTTCTAGCTATCGACCTCGACCAAGACAAAATAAAAAGTTGCGGTACATGACGTTAACCCTTCGGACTATAAGAGCAGACCCGAAGACGTATAAAACGTATATATACTCTCTGAACAGACGATATTTTCGGATTATATTAGCAGACCAAAGACGTAAATAATATATATATACTCTCTGGACAGACGATTTCTTTTTGGTCTATGAATCGGACGATAGTAATACAAACGAAGAAGTGACACCATGTCTAAAAGCGTGGTTCATTTTATCCAAAGTATATATATATATATCCTTACTATATTGCGTAACGTCATATTTCCTTGTTAATACGTAGGCATCTCGTCAGTTAAAGCTCTGTGTACGCCAATTTTCTGTTAGCTGTAACGTGGTGTTTTATTTAGAGTCGGTGGTTAACGTGCCTCAAGCCTTCTGCAACGTGTCATCGGATTACAGCCCTGATCTCCGCCCTTTTGTTCCACTGTCGTGGGCAACACAGGATTATCATTCATATTTTGACAGGTGCGAGTAATTGAGAGTTATCCCCCTTCCTAATTTTCAGTGTAAGAGGCGCTTACTGATAATTTCCGGTTGCAAACCAAAGATGTTGTGGACGGTGCTCCTGTTTTCGCTGTTTTTTACAGCAGAATGCGTAAATTGGAAACCACGATTTGAATACAAGTATAGTTTTAAAGGTCCACACTTGGTGCAAAGTGATAAAAGTGTGCCATTTTGGGAATATTCCGGAGGTAAGTTGTGAAACTACGAGATGTCCATCAGCTGTTTTGGTTTAGAGTTTAGTACACGTGTAACGATATAATGAAGAGTTACCGGCGAACATATGGAAGGACCAAAATCAAAATTCAGAAATGATTTTATGTTATATCATAGTAATTGGCTTACACTGTGGAACAGCTAGGTCTAAATTATATGAAATTTATAACTATAAATGCATTTTTATCGGTGTACAATTCACACATTAACAGATGCTGAAAAATAGACGATTTGAAATTCTGAAGTATTTTCGTTTGCGGTCTTACAAGTGCTGCACGTTTAATAAGTAAATGTTCAATGTATTGATACAACCGGAGATAACAATACTGCCAAATACACACAAAAAATCTATAAGTTGATATTCAGTAGTTTAAAATATTTTCTTTTAATAAATGTTTCCTTGTATTTTGAAACTGCCATTACCAGTAACATACTGATAGACAAAACCGAGGACTGGGAGATTGGGGTGTTGGTTCCTCATTGATGGGTAATGATGAGCATGTATTGTATGTGCTTACTGACTCTTATACTTCACAGTAAATCCCTTACCTTCAATTATTAATTTTTAGTTGTCTTTGAGCATACAAGAGATTTATCATTATAACATGGTGATCAAATTTTATCCTGATGATAAAGAAAACATCATAAAATTACTGAACAAAACTTAAGACCTTGTGTATAAATTTAATAATCATGATCAATCTACAACTTATTTTTTAACTTTAGTACTAACGACAATGGGCCCCAAAATGTAAAGTTAACATCAGAATTTTACGAGACAGGACTTGGAGTTCGCACATAGATTTATCACTGTTAAGATTTTGTTCCTTTTCATTCTACATACTACAAGTCATAGTAGGGTGACACTGAATACACTTATTAAACATTTTAAACTACATTTTCATATCTGTTCTGTAAATGATAAAAATACAAACTATATATAAGTGTAGACCAGGCACCAGCTGTTTAAAGGCTGGTTAGACATAACCAGGTGTTAGTGAAAATTTTCCAAAATTGGAAACATTCTTCATTATTTTACAATTGTAGGTTTATTGAGACAGGTCAGATATATTTTTAGTGTTGATTTTACATTTGACAGTGTTAATTGTCCAGTGTCGGCAATATGAATTTTCCAATTACTACAGGTTAGTTCTAACTGGGAACCAGGGCCTGATAGACTAATGCTATGATGATCAGTAGTAAAGCCTTATCTGCCCTTAAGCCTATAGAGGTTTTCCTTTAGGGTTATGGTCCACTATTATTCCTTTGGTTTGACATGTTATGTAATTAACTTACTTTATCATGGTTAGAGTAGCTGGAAGGTTATAGGTATCTTGTCTGGGTAATTTGAAGACCTGGAAATTCAGTATTTTATTTGTTCTTATTTTGTATCCTGAATTTTACCAAAATTACCCACATCTTGTTTTTTGGGTAGATACTGATGCATTTTGTTTGTATAGAACAACTTGATGAATTTGACTTTATAAATAAAATTCATAGGAAACAGATCAAGATGATCATAAATTCACTTAACACTAAATAAAAGATATCTTTCTTGAATATTTGCTATCTACTAAGTTTGATTTAGAAATATTTTACATTGTATGATTTTCTTTTAGATGTAATTAATTGTTTTTATTTCTTACAGATGCAATTGCAAGTGATGAGAACATCAGAATTACACCTTCATTAAGAAGCAAAAAAGGTAATTTTGTATGACCTGTACCATAAACTTGTTTTACCAAATATTTTTTTTTTGTATCAGAATAAATTTAGCTGTTTATGTCTTTGATAAAGTTATATTGTTTTACATTTATTTGCAATTTTATTTCTGATAAGTACCCAGAGTATGATAAAGGATTGGAAATGTTGATATGATATACAGTGATACATCTCAGGAATCTGTTATTGGGGAGAAACTACCTAGTAGTTCCCAGAATTACGTGTGCGAGTGTAATTATTTCAATACTACCCTCAATATACTGCTCAGCTACAGGGATTGGCTCATTAGTTCAATCAAGTGAGCAAAAATAGGCAAACAAAAGATCTTTGAAATCCTTTTGAGACAAAATGACCTCTTACATTAGCACCATGGAGGAACTCAGAAATTATACTTAGCAGTGCTCCATAAGCATCATTGTAATCTCAGGAAGCTCAAGGTGGAGTTGTTTCCAGGAAGGGGGATTATGTAACCTAGCTGCAAATTCTCCTCTGATGTAACACAAGGCTAGGAAGATCTTCTCTTTTGCTTGATCAGTTGGGGATAAGACTAGTAAGACTGAGGTCCCAGGTTTGATTCATTAAAGGAATTAAAATAATGATCCATTATATTGCTATAGTACTGAGATAATGACATTTAATATGGGCTTTGATAACTTTCACATACCAACAATAATTTAATTGTTTTGAACAAAAGTGGTGGACTGCTCCAGTCAAATGGCTTATAAATTAAGACTAACACTTGATTTCACTCATTCCTATATGATATTCAGATGTATATTATGGGTTATCTCCCCATTGTGTACACTTCCTTTTTGTAGATATCTGTCATATGATATAAATTGCTGAATGATGGGACTCCATAACCTGTCGTTAGTTTTTCTGTTGACCTTTCACTGTATATTGAATTTTTTGTAGGACAAGTATGGGCGAAAAATCCGACAACATTTGCCATGTGGTCTGTAGAAATGGTTTTCAAGGTCACAGGGAGAGGCCGTGTAGGTGCCGATGGAATGGTAAGTATTCTTTTGTGGCACCGATTTATATATAAATCAAAGGAATTTTAATTGAAGTGTTGATAAAAATATACGTATTAAGACTGATATTTTAGATAAAATATTAATCTGTGTGATTAACATGCCTATTTAAATAAATTAGGCAAGTTATACAAACAGATGGTAAAAAGTGATAATCACCATTTGGTCCTGTCAGAGGTGAACATATTTCAAACGACAGAATAGTACACTTAGATGAAATTTGCAAATTTTGTATTGAATGTTGATATTTTCTTTTGAAAAAAAAATAGATTGAACTTACACTTTGAACAATGACTAGGTAATTTTTATGTACTACAGACTAAAAATCTACAGGGAGACGACAAGGCTTTCATTTGATGTATTGAGATAAGTATTAACCACTAAAATTTAACATTACAGGCACTTTGGTTTTCGGAGCAGCGAGGCGTTGAGGGGCCAGTGTTTGGCAGTAATGACCAGTGGAAGGGTCTGGGAATCTTTCTCGACTCTTTTGACAATGATGGACAGGTAAATATAAAACAGATAATATGAATTGGCCAGAAGACCAGAAGAATGTGGAAATGCTTGCTGTGCCAATACATTATCACGCAGTGACATTTTTTCACCTTAGTATGTCTTGACTATTAAGTAACTTTTTTATCATTATAAAATCTGTTGCAAGTTTGATCATTGTGTTAATTGTGATTATTGTGATTATTGTGATTATTATGATTATTGTGATAATTGTGATTGTTGTGATTATTGCGATAATTATGATTGTTGTGATTATTGCGATAATTATGATTGTTGTGATTATTGTTAAGCTTTGACACGTTTAATACCCACAATTGTAATTCACAAGAAATTTAATGATGTATCCTTTTCCTCTGATTGGTTATTTCAATATTGCTAGGAATTGCTTTTGTATATCTACTTTCTTTTATTAACAGCACAATAATCCCTATGTGATGGCCATGGTTAATGATGGAACCAAAGTGTACGATCATCAAAGGTTAGTACCTCCCTGAGTTTTATTATCATAGCTGTGTCATATCACTATACCCAGTAACTGCTATAGTTTAGTGTTGACTTAAACGTGAACCTATGTCTGCAAATGAGTATACAATCAAATTTATTTTCAGTACAGAAATCAGTAGGAGATTCATTTCAGAACAATTTCCTATAATATATGTATGGAGAGGGACAAAACCCTATGATATATGTATGGAGAGGGACAAAACCCTATGATATATGTATGGAGAGGGACAAAACCCTATAATATATGTATGGAGAGGGACAAAACCCTATAATATATGTATGGAGAGGGACAAAACCCTATGATATATGTATGGAGAGGGACAAAACCCTATGATATATGTATGGAGAGGGACAAAACCCTATGATATATGTATGGAGAGGGACAAAACCCTATGATATATGTATGGAGAGGGACAAAACCCTATGATATATGTATGAGAGAGGGACAAAACCCTATGATATATGTATGGAGAGGGACAAAACCCTATGATATATGTATGGAGAGGGACAAAACCCTATGATATATGTATGGAGAGGGACAAAACCCTATGATATATGTATTGAGAGGGACAAAACCCTCAAACTATGCTGGTAAAATCTCAATAAATACCATGCTGATGCGTTTCTGGAACAAAGTACTTTTGATCACAACACATGTAGATATTAAACTATCGGCTATCAAAAATGAAAGTACTTAGACATATTAACAAGTCGACAGTGTGATTGGTGAATTGACGTATTTTTACACAATGATTTAATAAATTTAGAATAAAAACTAAGAAAGTTGTGATGTTGTTTCAGTGATGGTCTACAACAGCAGACTGGTGGATGTTTACGTGACTTCAGAAACAAACCATACCCTGTCCGCATCAAAGTGGAGTATTACAACAATATCCTTACTGTAAGTCCCACTGTACAGGATGAACTACAACAGGGCTACACATCACAAAGGCACTTCTTTGTAGTATACAGGGACAGTTAGGTTATTTCTATCACTATCAAAACTCATTTTTGGTGATATTAATTTGTGATGTAGTGCATCAGCCATTTTGTGAATTCATCCAAGTTGCTATTCTGAAATACAACTCGATAGCTGATCCACTGATCTCGATAGAATTTGAATGCAAATAGGCTTGTGCCCGAGTGTTATTTTAAGATTTCTTTTTTGACATTTGTGTTGCCAGTGAAAGCAATGTAAGATGTTCAAAAAATTTGCTATTTAAAACCTTTTTCAGGTACAATATTTTTGCTGTTGCTAAGGAAACAAAAAAAAATACAAAAATTTACAATTTGTAATCTATTTTTTTCGTCTACAACTTGGATACTTTTCATCTGATCCCTACATGCTTTAAACATTAACAATGGAAGACACAGAATTGACACCAAAATATAAATTTACTATGTATTAGATAGATAGATCAACATTTGTTTGAGTGTGAATACTAATAGACAGATGAATGGAATAATGCCACACTTTGTGACTTCTTGGTAAACATAGATGTCTGAGTGAGAGGTGTAATAGACTGAAGTAGTTAATGTAATTGGCTGGGTAAAGCATGTCCTATGAGACTCTCTCACTTTTCATGTTTTGTAAAAACTGTTTTTTTTAACAGATGATTTCTTTATTTACATTTTTATAATATTTTTGTTTCCTTCATTTCTGAAACATTTGTGTATTCATGTTCCTTTTATAAAAGATACATTACAGAGAAGTTTTAATATGCTGCAATGTTTTGAGAGAAAAATAAAAAATACTTGTGTTAACAATTACTTGTTGGTTTTGGGACAGATATTTGAGGTGTTTATGTTTATGTTTGCAGGTTTTCTTTAACAATGGACTTACAAGTAACAAAGATGACTTTGAGTTATGTCTGAGACAGGAGAATGTTGTTCTCCCAGCTTCAGGATACTTTGGAATCTCGGCAGCAACTGGAGGTCTAGCAGGTAAGGGAAATTTCTTTGTTTTTTGTTTTGGTGTTTCCCTTTTATTAATCTTATTGTTTCTCCACAGTACTTCAATTAAGCTTTTATTGTAGATATTTATAAACTCCCCATTTCAACCACTTAAGTTGAAACTGGCTCAGCTTTCACCTCATTGATTGAGTTTGAACCCTCAATTGGTGGTGAAGAAGTATGAGATCACACATTGATACAGTGGTAACTGGCTGGCCTTTCACTTCAGTGATTGAGGTTTGAACCCTCAATTGGTGGTGAAGAAGTATGAGGTCACACTTTGATACAGGGGTAACTGGCTGGCCTTTCACTTCAGTGATTGAGGTTTGAACCCTCAATTGGTGGTGAAGAAGTATGAGTTCACACTTTGATACAATGGTAACTGGCTGGCCTTTCACTTCAGTGATTGAGGTTCGAACCCTCAATTGGTGGTGAAGAAGTATGAGTTCACACTTTGATACAATGGTAACTGGCTGGCCTTTCACTTCAGTGATTGAGGTTTGAACCCTCAATTGGTGGTGAAGAAGTATGAGGTCACACTTTGATACAGGGGTAACTGGCTGGCCTTTCACTTCAGTGATTGAGGTTTGAATCCTCAATTAGTGGTGAAGAAGTATGAGTTCTCACTTTGATACAATGGTAACTGGCTGGCCTTTCACTTCAGTGATTGAGGTTTGAATCCTCAATTAGTGGTGAAGAAGTATGAGTTCACACTTTGATACAATGGTAACTGGCTGGCCTTTCACTTCAGTGATTGAGGTTTGAACCCTCAATTGGTGGTGAAGAAGTATGAGGTCACACTTTGATACAGTGGTAACTGGCTGGCCTTTCACTTCAGTGATTGAGGTTTGAACCCTCAATTGGTGGTGAAGAAGTATGAGGTCACACTTTGATACAGGGGTAACTGGCTGGCCTTTCACTTCAGTGATTGAGGTTTGAACCCTCAATTGGTGGTGAAGAAGTATGAGGTCACACTTTGATACAATGGTAACTGGCTGGCCTTTCACTTCAGTGATTGAGGTTCGAACCCTCAATCGGTGGTGAAGAAGTATGGAGTCGCCTGTCAAGTCACATGAGTATAACCAGGGTATTTGATATCTTACTACATGGTTAGTTGCTTTGAGCTTGACCAGCAAGTGTTTTGAGATATAAATACTATTTCATTATTTGGTAATAACGTACAACATCTGCGACACAATGTTTAGTTAATCTCATGATGTTGTAACAATGTTTATAAGCCATCTGATTTTACCACATACTCTATACTATAACTGCACCTATGCCCAAATACCCTGAAGTGGACGTCCTTATTTTATTCTGGGCAAAAGAATGTATGCCCTTAAAGTCCACAGTGATAATTTATTCAGTGTGACTGGTCCAGTTACTTTGAAGTGGATGCCCTCATTATATTCAGGGTAAAAGAATGTGTGCCCTTAATCATTGCCCATAAAGAGCTTACTTTGCTGGCTCGATGACACAGTTTTAAAACTTTAAAGCAGTACAAAATAAGATCAAAATAAATTATGAATTTAAATTTGATTTAATAGTTTACCAGCATTCTTTATAACTGGGTGACATTTTTGACACTAAATGTTTTTGTTTTGCAGATGATCATGATGTATTGGCGTTTTTGACTCATTCGCTGATTGACACAGACAACCAGGTAACCCTGACAGAGACTTCTTGGCTTCCCACTATATAGAATAACAGTATTTGTCTGCATCTGTACTTGGTTAAACCTGGAAAAATATGTTAACATAATTGATCCTTAGGTATAGAGCTTGTTTGTGCGACTCCAAAACCTGTTAATTTGGGTTATCTCCCTTACTATAGTAGACCTTTCTTACAGACAGCCGAGTTATAGCAATATTCCACTTTGTGACTATTAGATTATCTCCCTTGTTCTCTCAAAACTTAAACTGTATAGATCGATAGCTATCTGGGATTATTTTTTTAGTCTTTACATTGTTCGCTGTTCAGTCTGGAACATTTTTATTATCTCCCTTATTCTTTGTTAAATTAATTGGTTTAAACTGATGACTTTTCATCATGTTTGCTGTTGTCAAAGTAAGTAGTAACTGATAAGATTTTATTTGGTGTTGATAGCCCGACATGCAGCAGGTTCCTGAGCAGGAGAAACAAAAATATGAGAAAGAATTTGATGACTATTATCAGCAGCTCGAAAAACAAAAACAAGAGTAAGTATATAGATACAGTATATGATTTATCTTTGACCTGATAAATGATATCCCACTTATCTGTGTATTGATTGAAAAAAAGAATTACATTCAGGAGAGACAACCACTTCAGATCTGATGAGATAATGCAATACTCTAACAGCACAACTAAACAAAAAAGTTACATTCAGGGGAGACAACCACTTCAGATCTGATGCGATAATAAAATACTCTAACAGCACAACCAAACAAAAAATTACATTCAGGGGAGACAACCACTTCAGATCTGATGAGATAATGCAATACACTAACAGCTCAACCACTAAAAAAGAATTTATTTCAAACTTTCTCTGAATAGATTGTTGATAGAAACATCAAGGTTACAGTTAATAATTATTAATAGTACCTTGGTAAAACATACCTACATAAAGAGAATTTTTAAAAATTTAATGAATTGCAGTAAAAATACGACATACTATTTGTAGTTAATGGCTAACTTGCCCCTGACATTCGCTTACTTTAACAACATATCTATGGTATTATGATATAAAATACAATTGATTGGGTAAAAATCGATAACAAAAGTAATTCAGGTGAAGCCCTGTCCCTAAAGGTCAAACTGTAAACAAAAGATATAGTTAAGTGTTTTGTTATTATTAAACATTTTTGTTTTATGCCCTTTGCCATAAATTGTTAGGGGGTTGGGCAAATAGTGTTGCCCATGTTCCTCCTGATCTGTCCCATCCCATCACTATCACTGTCCCATCTGATCCAGATTCAATGTAAACAAAAAATAACTTTATTCTTAACAGATTTTGGTCAAACTTTGACGCAAAGGTTAAGATATCTGATATTTTTCTTTTTTTTATTAGATTCCAGCAGCAGCATCCCGATCGTGTCAGCCCGGATCTGGATATGCCAGGCATGGTATGTCTGTCTTCTAATATAACTAGGACATTCTAATGTAACTCCGATATTCTAAATGATGTGGACATTCTAATATAACTTATTCTAGTATCACTCAGATATTCTAATGTAACTCAGATATTCTAATGTAACTCGGACATTCTGATATCACTCAGATATTCTAATGTAACTCGGGTATTCTGATATAACTTGGACATTGTAGATGAAGTCAGAAGAATGTGAAGAAAGATGTTGATATGGACAGCATTGGAAATATGTTTTTTAGAAATATGCTGATATTGATCTACAAACATACTTATAACTTTAAATCAGTTCTGTGAAAAAACAGGGTACTGACCTGAATTTATCTGTTGTACATCCATTGAGTCATTTGTGCTCACATCCGGTGTTTGTGCAGGTTAAAGTTGTAATTCAAGTATTGAAATTGATTTTGAATATGACTTTATAAAGTGGGGAAAGTTGATCAATTGAGGTCCAGGCCCCAGTTATTCAAACATAAGTAAAGGCTTAACCAGTGGTTGGTGAAAATTTTGCAATGTTGATCATAAAAAATTGGGAAGATACATTATCATATCGTAGCTGCAGATTTGTTTAGATGGGGTTGATAAATATAGATGTAAACCTTCAAACAACCAACATAGAGATCAATTTACAATTCATTTTCATAAGTCCTTTTCATTTTTATTGCTAAAAAGAATGGTATTTACAAAAAATAAGAAATTACTGCAAGGAAGGACACTTCCAATTCCTATAATATTGAACACACAGTCAGCCGATTGGGTATGTAAATCAATTAACTACATCGAAAAGCCTGTCCAATTATAACTAATAAGCAGTTATAGATTTAAGTTGATATCCCAGTACTACTGGTATACAATGGATGCTGGTTTTTGTAATTTTGTATCTTTTCTCTAAGGTTTGACAATCATTCAGTTTTCTTCATTTTTACAGTTTGAGTCCCAGGGGGAACAGGAACTGAAGATGATATTTGACGGCCAGAATGAGATGCATAATTCCCTTAAATTATTAAACAGGAAACTGGACGAACTGTTAGGAAGACAGGAAATGGTGCTATCCAAGATTAGTCAATTACCAAGTGGACAAGGACAAGCTTTACCACCAGGACAGGTTTGTAACTTCTAGGATAATCCCATTGTAACTAGTAACTTAGATACTGGTCTAGTAGAGAATTGTATGTGATTAGGATCCTTTTGTGTCTGAAGTAAAAATTTGTTGTCATGACACACTTTGTTCAATAATTTGGTCAAGCAGATCTGTGATTAGCTGTTATCTTCCTTTGCATTTATGGTTTGAAATTATCTTAAGATTTGTGATAAACAGAATCTTAGCCTTGTTGCCATTACATATGAGATTTATGAAATCTATGCAAGATCCTTTATATAATAAATTAGAAGTATAATAAAAGATTTGATTTTTGTATTACAGGCCGGTAACCAACCACAGCTCGGTTCTACTATACAACGACACGAGGTGGACAAAGTTCTTAATAATCAAAATGACATTATGACAAACGCTAGAGAAATACGGTGAGTTTGATAATGGAATATTAACTGGTTAATTACAAGGTACCAAGATCTACAGTAGGCCTGCTGTTCCAATGTATTAATATAAAATCATATATTTTTGGGGCTCAATTTTCGAGGTCTATTTTAAAAAAATACTTCTTTTTGAGTACCAACAAAATCATTGAAAATAAATTCCCCACAAAAATCAATATTTTACAGTATTCACCAAGAAAATGTTATAGATTATGATAAACCTGCACTTTAAGTCTAAATACAGTATTCTTATCATTACGTTGATCAAGGCTTACAGTAAAGTTTTATATCTATATCATAATTGTTTGGTCTTCACTAAATCTTCTGTTGAATTTATTTGATAAAGAGTTAAATAAAATAGGTAAATAAATGTTAAAAGATTTAAATGATTAAAACATCAATAAAATCTTGTGATAAAATTTAATTTCATGATGTCTTTTTTTCAATAAGTCTTTCTTTTAATGCTAGTTATTTTGATTTCAAACAAGTGTTTTTCCTCATCAGTCTATTTAGGATTATTTCTGTTTTCAGACACTTAGCTCTTTAAGTTAGTCAAAGCGAAATAAAATATTAATTCTGTGGATTATTTTGTTTAATGTTCAATTTTCTCTGTTACAGACATATAATAAACGACGTACAACAAAAAGCTAATTATATACAGAATAATGTAGGGGCTGGAGGGGCCCAACAAGGGGGCACTGGTGGAGGACTCCCGGCCGACATAGACCAGATTATAAGAGAGCTACATAACAATGTCCGCTCAGTAAAATCTGATACGCTTAATATGATGCAGCGTCCGATGGTGAGTGTTTGATACTGTAAAAGTACAGAGGAATTTAGTAGACTGCATACGCAATTAAAAAAAAATCCCAAAAATTGATAAATGATTTTTTTTTATTGAATATCTTTGACACCCACAAAGGTTAAATCAGCTTTCAAAATTCTTTTGGCAAAAATTATGATAAACCTTATATTTTTTTTCCATGTCATCAATTAGATCTAGATGCAAGTTTAATTGCATCAAAATTCATATTAAGATAAAAGAGGCTAATAGTTTTAGGAAAATGGCTGCCTGTAGAGTAAAATCCAAACCAAAGTTTTCTCTAAATGTAGTCACTTCAGTCACATGATTTTACAGTAGGGTTGGCCTCACTTCCTGTAAACCCTGACACTTTATTATTATTGCAACCTACAATATTGTTGGCCTCACTGCCTGTAAACCCTGACACTATATCATTATTGCAGCCTACAGTATTGTTGGCCTCACTGCCTGTAAACCCTGACACTATATCATTATTGCAGCCTACAGTATTGTTGGCCTCACTGCCTGTAAACCCTGACACCTAATTATTATTGCAGTCAACAGTATTGTTGGCCTCACTGCCTGTAAACCCTGACACCTAATTATTATTGCAGCCTACAATATTGTTGGCCTCACTGCCTGTAAACCCTGACACCTAATTATTATTGCAGTCAACAATATTGTTGGCCTCACTGCCTGTAAACCCTGACACCTAATTATTATTGCAGTCAACAGTATTGTTGGCCTCACTTCCTGTAAACCCTGACACCTAATTATTATTGCAGTCAACAGTATTGTTGGCCTCACTGCCTGTAAACCCTGACACCTAATTATTATTGCAGTCAACAGTATTGTGAGCCTCACTCCCTGTAAACCCTGACCCTTTATTATTATTGCAGTCAACAGTATTGTTGGCCTCACTGCCTGTAAACCCTGACATTTTATTATTATTGCAGCCTACAGTATTGTTGGCCTTACTCCCTGTAAACCCTGACACTTTATTATCATTGCAGCCTACAGCGGGAAGTTGTCCACCAGTAGAATCAGGATGTGTATCTCCCTTCCTTTTCTTTGTCGCTCTTGGAGCCCAAGTTATGGTACTCATAGGTTACATGGTTTATAGGTAAGTCAGTTGTTTCTTGTGATAAATCACACAACAATCACACAAGAATGACATAAAATCACACAAAAACCATAAAGAAATCTATACAAAATTTACAAGAAAATCACCTAACTGCTTTTTCAACAGAAAGGATACGTAAGTCATTGTCTTGCTCACTTGTTGGAAACTGTAAAACACTTATTGATAATTAAGTGAAATTAAAATCAAGAAAATGTGTGTAATCTTATTTAAGCAATGGTCCAGGGGAAGACACAGATAAAAAATTAAATTATCGAAGCAATGTTTTTTTTTCTGATAACTTCTGTCAAATTATTTTCTTTACGTGGAATAAAAATGACTTCTGTTTTCTTTTTCAGACAAAGTAAAGAAAATCAAGCGAAGAAATTTTACTAGGTAGTCAAGGATACAATTAATGCTTTTAAAAATTTCACTTGTTAACATCTCATATTGAATTCTGAAAACATTAAGATAATCATTAATCTATCTCTTAATTCTACATTTTGTTCATCTAAGTTTGTAACTGACCTTAGTATTAAAGAAGTTATACGGAAAAAGTTTTCTTTTTTCACACCTTTTAACTATACACATTTTTTTGGTGTGAAATAAAATAAAGACATTTTTGTTTAAATACAAATGGATTAGCAGGGTTTAACATACAATGGACACCAATATAAACTAAACAAATAAATCTGTAGAGGCCACTTGCTTTGGTTCCAAATTCAATGGCATTCACAGTATCATAAATATTGTTTGCCTATTGAGGTATTTTTCTTAACTGAATTTTTTTGTGTTTATTTTGGTCACAAATCTGTTCTGTTTATTTGCCAAATAGCAAACACCCAAATATTGTTTTAAGTTTGGTTTTGCTAGAAGTTACCCTGAAATTTCATTTTTTTATCAGACATTCAGTCATGTGTGTTACAATGGTATGAAATATGAATTATGAAGATATGATTGCTGCCATTTTCTATACCACAAGTTGTTACTTAGCTCAAAGTTTTAAACAAATTGAGTCTGTCTGTCTAATTCATATTTTAGAGCTGGGATTTCAACATTAAAAAAAAAACAACAACAATTAATAATGTTATAAAGGAAATTTTGTGTCTCACAGACAATTGACAGTAGTAAAGTAATTTACAATTAAATTTCTGAAATCCACAGATTATAACAAAATTCTCAGCTCAAGTAAAAACAGCAGTGTGGGTTATCATTGTATGGAAGTGATAAGTGATATTTTTGTATGTTTGAGAGTGTATCTGAATGTTGAAATCATCTGCTGGATATTGAAAACATCCAAATTGCATGATGGGTTTTTTAATGTATTAGTAAAGAGATGAAACATCCATCCAGACATTATCAATTTTTTTCTTTTAAAAAATCATTGAATTTTATTAAATATTTGAGTCATTATACTGCTGTAATGATCTGTTGAGAATAAGTCTTTATTCAGAAGTCATGCATTCCTTGTTTAAGTTTTACAATTGGAAAGTTATTGATATTTTTGTGCAATCTATAGTCTTTACCTTGGTTTCAGTTTAATAATGTCATGCCATATTAGTTTTCAATTCAATAGTTGTGAAACATGTACATTTACTGTATACGTGCCTTGGTTGGCAGATCTAGAAAAAAAAAAACGAATGAAAATTTCAGGTAAAATTTCTTTCTTTAAGGGACGTCTCCCTCTTTTTCACTCCAATGTGTTCCTTTTTAAATTCTACATTGTTAAGATGGTCTTGCTTTTTATAAAAAATAAAATTGAGTATTCCACTTTAATTAGCTTAAATTTGGAACATTATCCCATGAAAAGGTTGGCGGTTTCTTGAAATTAAAGACACTGTAAAAGTTCCCTTTATACTCTCTCACTGCTATCAAAACTTCTAGATGCCTGATTGAAAAGCATTAATATTTAACAGAACAAAAAAATCAGTAAATCAGAGTATGCATCTGTTTAGGAGGGTTAACTGACAGAGAATGAAATCATTGTCCAGCCCAGTGTTAAAATCTCATTCTTGGAGGAGGGTCATGATTGTCTTATCTCTTAAATCAAGGGAGATAATGATTAGCGTTGAATTAACCGACAAGTTGTATTCTGAGTAAACATTAATCCTGATAATAAAGATATTACAGATTTTGATTATAAAACTAAGTACTAGGAATCTTCAGATTTTATTCTGTTCTTATGAAGCTATTACAAGTGAGGTGTGAATATATTGTTGATTTATTTGTTTAACTTGCAAAATTGTTGAAAAGTTTATTGGGAATGTGCTTAAATTCGTATTTCGTGATAACGCTGAAAATTTCAATTTCATTTATTTCTGACTCTATATGTTTTTGTTTCTTTATTTTTCTTGTTTGAAATACAGTTTACATTGAAATTGACAATTTACATTCAGTGGATCCTGTTGTATGATTGAATTGAGTTAGTTGAGAATGGAAAGTAGGGTGTTTACGAGATCTGGGTGAATAAGATGTTTTATCAAACTATTAAACTATCTGTTGTTATCAAGCTTTTGATTAATGTTTGAATGAGATCTGGGTGAGTCAGATGTTTTATCTAGCTACAAAACAACATGTTGTTGTCAAGCTTTTGATTAACCTGACATTTTTCATGATAAATAAGGAATATGTTTAAGATTCATCATGAACAAGTTAATCAATTTTATAAAATGAAATGGGAGGTTATGACTTCAACATAATTGTTAGAAATAGTTGGTGACAAAAGGAAGAACTTGGTACATGTTTAGGTGTGTAGCTGTGTATGTTTGTATGTGGAAACAGTTTATTATGGTTTGTGTTTGTGAATGTCCTCCTCCCCACCCCTTATCATTACCCACCATGATCCTTTTATCATTGTTATGTAAGTTTAGTAGTTTATCAGGTCAGTTAAGTCAAATACAAGTGAAATCTAGACAAACTCAAATATTATAATTTCCTTTGAAACAATCTTTGAAATTTCTCATATTTATATTTTATACTTGTTTTTATCGTGATGAGTAGTTTGTGTGTTCTGTAGGTATTAGTGTCACTAATTAAACTGTTTTAACTTGGATTTCTTTAAAACTCTGATGATTTCTGTAGATTTCTATCTTCCTGAGAGAAAACTCTTGGCATTTGTTTATCTGGTGAAAAAAACAACAAACTTATTGATGTAAACACCATGTTTCAACTCAAGGGCCTTAAGACTTTCTATCTAACTGATATCAACCTGTAACATCAGTATATTGAGACTTCCTGTCTAACTGACATCAACCTTTAAGATCAGTATATTGTGACTTCGTGTCTAACTGACATCAACCTGTAACATCAGTATATTGAGACTTCCAGTCTAACTGACATCAACCTTTAAGATTAGAATGATCTGACTTTCTGTCTAACTGACATCAACCTTTAAGATTAGAATGATCTGACTTTCTGTCTAACTGACATCAACCTGTAAGATCAGTATATTGAGACTTCGTGTCTAACTGACATCAACCTTTAAGATCAGAATGATCTGACTTTCTGTCTAACTGACATCAACCTGTAACATCTGTATATTCTGACTTCCTGTCTGACATCAACCTTTAAGATCAGTATATTGTGACTTCGTGTCTAACTGACATCAACTTGTAACATTTGTATATTCTGACTTCATGTCTTACTGACATAAACAGTTAAGATCAGTATTGTGACTTCCTGTCTAACTGACATCAACAGTTAAGATCAGTATTCTGACTTCCTGTCTTACTGACATCAACCATTAAGATCAGTATTCTGACTTCCTGTCTAACTGACATTTATCTTAAATATCAACTTGTAATGACAAGCTATACATCTGATGATAATATTGAACATTTAGTTGTGAAATTTGATATAAAGATACAATAGAACTCTTGATTAAACTGTTTTCAGTGAAACATATATATCAAATGCTTACATTTGATGGAAAATTATTTAAATACAATATTAAAAGAAGTAATTTTAATAGTTGCCTTTATTCTGAACATTGGCGGTAAAATGATTTGTATTGATGATTTTGTTGTAATTTATTTTATGTAATTAATTTATTCGATGTTACGACATTTTGTTTATATTATGTAGCTTTATACACATGAATTGGTGCAATTTATTTTTTTTAGGATTTGTCAATTATCTCAAAGATAATATCTCTTCGATTTTTTCAGTAAAAATGCGGAAAAATATGAGACACATTTTCCAAAAAACTTTTATCATTAGATTAAGACAGCATACAACCTTAACTTAAAATTGAATGATTGAAGATAGCATACAACCTTAACTTAAAATTGAATGATTGAAGATAGCATACAACCTTAACTTAAAATTGAATGATTGAAGATTGCATACAACCTTAACTTAAAATTGAATGATTGAAGATTGCATACAGCCTTAACTTAAAATTGAATGATTGACTAAATGTGTAAGGTAGAAAATGACTTCAATACAAAACAGAGGTATCACATCTCAATAGGTTCCTAGAAGTTGGGACTGCAATTTCTGGATTTTCTAAGAAGAAATATGACATACTTAACAACAATACTAAAGAAAGATAACTCTTAATTTATTTCTAGATGTAATTTGTCAGGGAGTTGGTATCCAAAACAATAGTTACAGATACCACGATAAAGGTGCAGAATACATGACGAGAGGGAGACTCAGTACAAGTGTAGTGTGTACATCTAACTATTTATTTAAAGTTTTTATCCTGTTCTATATTAACATGTTATAGGAAAATTGTCCATGATTTACTTAAAATATTTTTGAAACAATCTTTGATGTTAGAATAATAATACGATGATGATTGATTTTTAAACATCAATGAGAATTGGAGAATCTCTGCCTATTAAGATTTCAGTAATGATAGATCTCAGTATTTACCTGGTAGCCTCGAACTTTCAATAATAACAGAGACTGTTGGAACCTAGATCTGAATCATACCATCTTCAAATGTCATACAGTCAGATAACTAAAAAAAATTATTGAAACACTAATAATTGTATTGTAGTTTTGAATTTTCTTGAACTAATGGTCATACACGTTTTAAAAAATTACATCCAGATTCTCTCGAGAGCTGTATAATAGACATTGTTTATTGTTTGATGTTATACTACATATATATAAACACATTTTTACCAATCCATTTATTTTCCCCTGCATTAATCATGAAATCTAGAGGTGTGCTGAGATCATTTATTATGGATCATGAAGTAAAGTTAGGATGTTTGTTGAGAGTATATTTTTACCCATGATGTTGTCCATCGTTGAATGAAACAAATCTGCTGTTCTATTATGTGATCTTTGTCACAAAATTATATCAAAGCTTTGGAAAATTAGGTTTATCAATACCAGAAAGGTCAATTTAAAAAAAGTCTTCTTCTTTAGAACAACATGGTTTTAGTTCAGGAAAATATCTTGGATGAGTTTCCATTCATACAATATTTAT